GCTTCCGTCACTTTCAGGAGAACCACGTTCACTGAACATGATTGATACAAAATATTTTAAAACTTTAATGAAAAAAAACTTATGACAATTTGAAGGGCTATAAAACAACTTGTACCTAAGAGTAATATTTTATATACAATATCTTCTTTTAACATGTTTATTAATTATTAGTATATAGTGCCTTTTTTATATTTCTTGTTAAGACTTATTGACACACTAAACATGTTGGATAAGCATTCGAACGAAAGTTTAATGATGTTGATATTATTGTTACAACGATCTGTAAACAGTCATTATATGATAAATAGTTGGATCATGCCGAAATTACAAAATCGAATCGGCAGAAAAATCATTCGGCCAATTTTTATCAGATGTTCAGAAATTATGTAACTTTTTAGATGGTTATAAAAAAAATTTTATATGGGTTTTATTTATATAATCTTTTGAAAACAAAATTAAAAGCCAGGTTGCCGAGTCATTTTTAAAATTTTATGTTACAAAAAAATTAACTTTGTATGACTTTATATTAACAATATATTCTTTTATTTTAAATGGAGCTTTTAAATTATAATAATAAGAATAAAAATATTTAATTTAAATTATATTATTAATACTGTATTAATAAATAATTATTAAACCATTTTATTTTAATATTTTTATTCAATTATCGTTATTAAAAAATATCATATAAATAATAGAAACGACCGGAACATTGATTGTATTGCAATTCTGAAGCCAAATTTATTACCTTGAAATCTTAAATTTTTACTTTCGAGTTTTTACTCTGCGGTATATAATTATTAATTAAAGTCTAAGATTTTGTTTTTTTAAATTAATTTCTTAGAAACTGTGCAAATTCCTAGTTTATCAAATGATCCTAAAGGTTAATCAAATGAAAATATTTTTTTGCTTTAAAGACAACTCTGCAAAGTTTTAAATATCGAAAGATGACATTACCAGTATTATACAACCGCACAAATGAATTTTCAAATGTTATTAATGAAGAAGATGCAGTAAAAATTGCATCATGGATTGATAATAGAACCAGAAAATATTCGGCAGCAAATAATCCTTTTAAACTTTTAATTACTTTGTGAAAGCAGAGATAGTTTTACGATTAAAGCATTTTGGAAATTATGTAATAAAATAAAAAACATCGGTTAGTTATAAAAGTTGAAGGCACAGATGAAATTTTTTGAGGATATAATTCTATTAGGTGGAGTAAACTATATATCAATATCGGAGGAGAATTTGCATATTGCTAAGATAGTTTTATTTTTTCATTGAAGAATAAAGGTCAATTATAAGTCGAATAAAATATTCAGAACAAGCAATCTATAACTCTTATAATATCCACAATATAGCAATTATCAAGTGAGCATCAAAATATTAATTAATTCCTCATTTAACTTTTATTCATATCAGTATAGCAATTATTTATTGACTTAAGTATTTAATATGAGCTTATTTAGTTTAGATTGTCTATATTAATAATAATTATCTGTCAAGACCACTTCTAAATTACGCAAATTGGTATGGTATTGGGGTGTGAAATACCCTATTTAAAGGTTATACAGTGCCATACGGCTTAAAGAATTATAATTATCATCATATTCAAAAGATATATTATGAAATCATGAAAGAAAAAAAAAAAAAGGGATTTCTTTAAAAAATAAATTAAGGTTCCCAAAAGTAATTGTGAGGGACCAACATGAGGTTAGTCCAACGTAGTATTTTTTATGATTAGTAATCACTGGCGGACTTTAAATACTAATTGACCTCACGTTGAAACCAACCTCGTGTTGATCCCTCACAGTTGTAATTGTCAGTTTCAAAAAGCGCGGTGTTGGACGTTGCCATAGGTAAGGAATATATGGTTATAATTATAATCAAAATAATGTTCTTCTCTATGAATGCATTTGAATCGTACATTACATTGTAAGTGCTATTCTGAAGATTGGGTGGGAATTTGTGACTGCGAAGTCACAAAAGTCAAGCTTTCTTCTAAGACGTTGAGATCTTGTTTTTTTTTATTCGGCCTATATTTATAGTTGGGATACATTTCTGAATGTTTTTTTAGGGCTTCTTGCTCCAATTGTTTGAAGTAAATTCTCACCAAAGGTGGTTGTATACTCCACCTTTCTGCATCTAATGATGTGAGAAAATCAGTTCGTTTTGATTAAGTAACCGATGCTTCCTTACGAAAGAGAGAAAACTATTCTGTGGTCTTGGTGGGTCGTCGGTTTATCTTGAACGACTTGAAGGATAAATTAAGTCTTCTTCGTTTAATGTCAATTCGTATGGAACTTGAACAGTGTGCGGCTGTTCATCATTGAAGACATACAATGAATGTCCATTTACTCAAGAGTAAGAGCCAGCCCTAGTGACGTTAGGGGTGATATTCACAAAGTGAATACCACGGCTCTTAGCAATTTTACTTGCTTTTGTTTTCATAACGAAATAACTAATGTAATATTACTTTTCAATTAAAAGAGAATTAAGTTGAGAAGTAGAGAATTAGATTTAGGGAAACATTGCTTTTAAATAATAAAATTTCTACCATTACATATACATACATATATAGGTTAGTAAATTAAATTACCGGATTAGTTTAGTATGTTTTTAATACAGCACCAGTGGTCTCATTCAAGAACTTCATTTTTAAAATCGAAGAATACGGCTGCCAATGAAACCAATGGAGCTCAAAAATCCAGTATCCATTGGCGCTCCATTAGCTCAGTTCGCAACTCCATTGAGCTCCATTGACAATACACCCCTTTTGGGATGCGTTTGCTGTGGCCAACGGTACTATTTTACATGTATTTTTTTCTGTTTTAGGGCGTTCTCAAGCACCTACCTCAATGAATTCAATAAAAAATCTGATTGGCTAGTTTAATCAAACAGACCAATTAGATTCGTAATTGAGTCCATTGAGGTAGGTGCTTGAGAACGCCCTTATTATCATTATTGGTATCCTCTGTCACATTTGCACGGAGTCATCGGCATATACATGCCGTAGAAATTAGTTTCGGCTGCTTCGAAAGTATTTAGCCTCCAATTTTTCGGCAATCCGAAACAAATGCCGAAATCCAAAACAAATTTCATAATCTAAATTAATTGCCGTAATTTGTCTTAAATAGTAAAATATACTTTTTTTTGTTTTTATTTACATCAATTATACTTTATACTTTATTACTTTCGGCGTTATATTGATTATACTTTTTACTTTCGGCACTATATCA